CCCGGGACCCCCTGCTCCCCACCCCCTTACCATGCTGGAGTCAGCCACGCCGCCACGCTGCCTGGCAGGAGTGGTGGGCCAGAGTGCTGGGGGGACAGCAGGGGAGGGGCTGGGGGCTGGCCTCCCCAGCCGGGAGCTCAGGGGCCAGGCAGGACGGTCCCGTGCACCAGATATGGCCCGCGGGCCGTAGTTTGCCCACCTCTGGTCTAAGGGGACTGTCTGTGACTTCCCGGTAAGACAGGTGTAGTGAGGGCCGGCTCCAGGCACCAGGTAACCAAGCACATGCTTGGGGTGGCACCTGGTAAGGGGCGGCGGGGGGAGCGCGGCGTGGCATTCCGCGGGGAGGCGGGGGGGTTCCGGCGGCGCTCGGCGGGGGTCGGGGGCAGGCTCCGGCGGCGCGACGCTCGGCGGGGGGGCAGCGCGGGGCGCGGCGCTGGGGGGGGGCAGCGCAGCGCTCGGCGGGGGGCGGCGCTTTTTTTTTCTGCTTGGGGCAGCAAAAAAAGTTAGAGCTGACCCTGGGTGTAGTGATGCAAGAGTTCACTTTTGTCACAGGCTTGTTGAAATCGAATTATAAAACACACCTCCAGTTTGGGGTCTCTGCCGGTATTCTGACAGTCTGCCCTGAGGTCGGCGCTCACAGTCGTGAGACAAGCGGACCCAGTCCTGTGAGGCCTGCAGGTGACAAGTGCTCCCAATTCCCACTGAAGTCAAAGGTGCTTGTGGTTGGTCAGTCTTTCAGGGCAGCGGGCTATGTGTGGACAAAGCGTACGCTTGCTCGCTCTCTCTGTGGCTAAGCTAGTCTTTTTGCTCCAGTTTTAACTTGTTGGTTGATTACCAATTTCTGCCTGTTACCAGACACATTTGTAAACACCAGTCTAGACGCTCCACAAACGTTTGTGTCCTGAAACAAGTGTTTGAGGAGCATTTGGACTGGCATTTACACACACATGAGCTAATTGGAGTCAATTGGCACGTAGGTAACATAAGATAAAAAGGGCCTAAAGCTAACACCCTCTCTAGTACACACGCACACACTGTGACAGAGAGAAATCATGCCGAGAATCCAACCACCTCTTCAAAATACGCAGCCAACGTATTTCCCAGTTGTAAATTTTTGACTGCCCTCTGATTAAGCTTGTGTAGGGGCTGAAAGTAGCATCTTTAGGGAGATGTCCCAGGAACTCACAAGTAGGTACCATTCCCATTCAGCCTTGTCTCCAATCTGCATCTTGTGGAAGATATCGGTTGGAAAAAAGATTTGGCTTTCGCTCTGCAATTAAACCTTCAGCACTGGGCTTCCTGCTGGCTCGTATAAAGCATCCCACGTCTCTTGCTAGCCACCTAGATCCCCCCTCTTCCTCACCACCACAACTGAGCGCCTCACAAACATCAGTGTAATGAGTCTCACCACTACCCTGTGTCAGGATCGCAACAAGGGCAGTCAGGGCCAAGGGTCAAAGCAGGGGCAAACCTGAGGCTAGGAGTAGCCGAGGAGTTCGTAGTCAGTTCCAGGCCAGGGTCAATCCCGAGAGAGAGTCCAAGTGAGGTTTCAGGGTCTTAGTCAAGAGGCAAAGTCCAAAACAAGCCAAGGTCAAGCCAGGAGCTCAAGAGCATAGAACAGGACCACTCATGACAGCTACAGAAGATCTACACTGTTGCCTAGACACTTCCTGGAACACCCGTTGGGTTTACATAGGACAGGGAGCCAATCAGGAGCCACGGGGCGGCTGCTGGTCAAACCCTTGAGGTGGAACTTCCCATGGTCTGTGTCCACAGGAGCTCATGGGAAATGGAGCGGAGGGTAACTATAGATGCTGCTGAGTGGTAGATGGGAGCTGTTCACTACCTCCTAGCTCTATAGGCCTGGGTTCTAGAGCCATGGGGCCTTACACCTTGTGAGGCCAGTAAGTATTGATGGGCCAGATCCTCATTGTAGCGTAAATCACTGTGAGTCATTTGAGCTATGCTGATAGACACCAGTTGTCAGCAGGCAGGATTGAATCTGGGGCCTCTGGAACTCAACGCATGAGCTAAAAGCCACATGGCTCTTAGCCAAGGCTGTAGCAGACTCATTAATCTCTAGATGAGGGGCAGGCAAACTTTTTGGCCTGAGGGCTGCATCGGGTTTCGGAAATTGTATGGAGGGCCAGTTAGAGGAGGCTTTGCCTCCCCCAACAGCCAGGTGTGGCTCGGCCCCTGCCCTCTATCTGACCCCCGCCCCACTTCTTGCCTCCTGACGGCCCCCCCGGGACTCCTGCCCCATCCACCCCCCCATTCCCTGATGGCCCCCCCGGGACTCCTGCCCTGTCCCCTGACCGCCCCTGGAACACCCATCCCTGCCTGCCCCCGTCGCCCCATCCAACCCCCCCCCTTCCTGACTGCCCCCCAGGACTCCTGCCCCCATTCAAGCCCCCATTCTCTGCCCTCTGAATTCCTGACCCCTATGCATACCCCGAACTCCCCTGCCCTCTATCCAACTCCCCCTGCTCCCTGCCCCCTTACCGTGCTCTGGGCCGCCGAGAGTGGGTTTGGGCCCCAGTGAAAACTTTTTTGGAGGCTCCCCAGCAAGGGCGGACCGGCTAAACAGGGCCAACGAGGGGGGGTTGGGAAGCCAGGGAAGCCAGGCCCCAAGCCCCCTTCCAGACCACCGGGCCCCAGTAATTTGTATTGGTTTCCTCCCCCTCTCGTCGGCCCTGACCGCGTTGCCTGGAGCACCGGTGGCTGGCGGCACTACAGCTGTGCCGCCCGACTGTAGCCAGCCACGCCACCGCGCAGCACAGAGCACCGGGTCAGGCCAGGCTCTGCAGCTGCGCTGCCCGGCGCGGCAGCCCAGAGCATTGCACCGGTGGTGGAGCGAGTGAGCTGAGGCTGCAGGGGAGGGGGAACAGCAGGAGAGGGGCTGGCGGCGAGCCGCCAAGGCCAGGAGCTCAAAGGCCGGGCAGGAGGGTCCCGCGGGCCGGATGTGGCCCGCAGGCCGTAGTTTGCCCACCTCTGCTCTAGATGATCTAGATACCACTAGAGGGGGACAAAGTGCCACACCAAGCAGGCCTGGGTTACACTGACCCACACCAGCCGGAGTTCTGGCCTGTTATCTCTGTTTTACAGATGGCCAACTGAGGCACAGAGAGATTAAGTGGCTTGTCTGAGAGCAAGGTCTGGAACTGAATGTAGATCTCACCATCCATATTACTATTCCAGTGCCCCTGAGAGCAGGATCACACCCAGAAGAAATAACATAAAGCATCAGCGCTAATCTTATCGTCCATCTGCAGGGACAGCCG